AACCATCCACATGGAAACTACATTGCTGTAGAAAAGGAAAGACAGGGAGAGGCAGCAATGAGGGAGTATCTGACACATAAAAGAATGAATTATTAGTGATTCTCATAGCTGGACAAATTCAACAACCTCCCAGCTATGTTTCTTTCCTTAATCAAAAAACACCTAAATGTTTTTCTGCATGCTAGGAACTATCTTAGAAGCTGGATGCCAGGGTCGATAACAATTGCTCCCTCCCCTCATGCAACCACAATTTCAGAAAAAAATCAGTTGTACTGACAATACACAAGCATACACGTTATGACCCGTAGGCCAAGAGTGTCACCTTCCACCCAGCTTTTAGGATCGAGGGCTCTGTCCTATTTCCCTCTTGCCTGACAACTTAATTCCTGAAGCCCCTGCCAACACTCCCAGGAACTCTGGTGACAGACTCTTTTGACTCCCAACTACATACCTGAGAGCATCTCTCCATCTACCTGTTCCCAACTCCAACGCCACCCTGTCTCTCTGTGCTGCGCACTTCCCTAGATATCCATTCCTTTTGCTGCTCTTCCCTGACCCCACACTCTCCAGACGTCTGTGCTCTGAGATCTGAGCTCCTCAAATCCACGTGAAAGGAGGGAACCACGTTCAGAATCAGCAGACTGCTCGGAACGCTGGAGACGGTGACCGTGCAAAGGCTGGGGCTGTGCACCGCAACCTCGCACTCAGAGCTGGGCACTCTCTCTCCGGACAATGCTGGAGAAACAGACAGTGCTCTGTGCTTTTGCTTCGGTAGTTCTAGACTCCACCTTTTTTTTCTTTCCATAAATCATTAGATTCTAGCTCTTTTCTACTTTCAGTCATGCTTTGGCTAGATTAGCTCCTCATTTTAACTTCTTGTTCCTGATTTGTTAAGAATTAACAAGTGCAGCTTAAGAATTCTGCAGAGAACTGACGTGATCTATCCGTGCAGATTGAACTGGTTATGGAGGAGGGGAGGCTGGAGACATTTCTGATCGTCACGACTGAGGGTGCTGCTGGAATGCAACGCGGAGAGGTCAGGGATGCTTCCAAACCCGCTGCAACGCACAGGACAGACCTCAACAACAATCTATCTAACCTAAAATGTTGGTGGTGCTGAAGTTGAAAAACCCCGGACTACAGTATGTTCAAGAGGCCAAGCAAGGTAACTAGTTCTCACTTGGGCAGAGGTTTGTCTCCATTCTCTGAAGTTATCACTAACAGCTCTAATGATTTGGCTGAGCTTAAGGGCTGAGCTTCTGTTTGTCGGCCTTTACACATCCGTGCCTTACAGTTCAAAGCTAGTGCTCACTAAATACACCATTAACCGGTTATCCCTAACTGGCCCACATAACTTGCAGACCACTCCTCATTGTGCACACATGAAGGCTTTACTTGTTTGGGAGTTGTTGCCACATTTTTTGTTTGGGATGTTGAAAGTACTAAGAAAGAGGAAAACGGCAGGAAGAAAAGTGGAAGTAAAAATCTTACATGGAGTGAAGATCCACTAGGCTTGTGATTCCTTAAAATTTTACGAGTGAGAGACAACAGAAATGAATAAATAGATTATACTTTGGATGCGAAACATGCCATCTTGGTTTAGGAGTTTCCTTTCTTCTTTCCACAATCAGGAGCTAGAGAGAATGAAAGTCATAGAATTGCAAGACATAAAAAATGGACAGTTATTGTGTTATAATAAAGAGAGGTGGGATTAGGTTCTAGGGTGGAGTGGGGGTGCAGGGAGATAGAGTCTCTTGTGGAACGCCCCCCCCACACCAAATCTGACTCTTCTGACTTCTGGTGTCAATTGTCTCTTTTCCAATTTAACCAAAAGAAAAATTTGAGAATTTGAAATGAGCTCTGGGAATGTGGGCCTTCTAGGACCACACCGAATGCAGCCCAGAGTGCTGATTCTGACTCTAGCAGACAGCCATGGCAGGTTCTGAGCTTAGGAGGGATTATCACGCAGATGGTCTGAGTTAGAAAAATAAGTTTATAGGAAGAGTATGAATAAGAGAAGAAACGTTTCAAAAGAATTATAGAAGAAAAAATTGCATGAGGATTTATCATTTATGGGCAAGTACCAACTTAGGAAATGGTTGTGCTCTTACAAGTTCATCTGACTCCTGTAAATGACAGAGTGGAGGGAAATAGAAGTAATGCACTGACTGCTGGGTAGGACCTTCAGAAACTCACAGTTCAATGCTCACGTTTTAAAGAAGAAAAAGATGGCTCGGAAAAGTTGACCACCTTGCCCAAGATCACTCTGAGAGTCAGAAACAGAGGCCAGTCTTGGAATTCCCCCAGGAGTCCACTAACCATCCTGTGCTGTCTCTGAGCAGGAAGGGAGTAAAATAATTACATAACGACAAGGTGGAGCACGGGGGCAGGGGCCAGCTGTCCAGGTGACTGGGAGGTGGGAGGAAGAAGAGGATGTGAAGGCTGGAGGGAAGGAACGTTCCCACAGCAAGGGCAGAAAAGGCCCTGCCTGGTCTGGGTCCCATCCTACCTGCAGAAAACAATGCCAGAGCACACCGAGTGCGGTTTCCTACCCTTGGGCTGCTGACACCTTTGATTGCCCAGAAGTTACGGTGTACAAGGAGAAATGACAACAGGTGGGCCGTCTGCAAGCTCTTTCCAAAAGGTTAGCATTCCTCAGAGCCTCATCACTGTTTCCTCAGCCCACCAGAATTCATTAATTTGACAAGTATTTATAAAACTCCTATTTTGTGCTATGTGCTGCCCCAGGTCTCATGAGTCTAGCGGTGAACAAGACAGACAAGGTGCTTTCTTCTTTGAAGTCTGCTGTCTAGAGAGACAGACAAAAAGTAAGCGAATAAATATGATCGTTTCTGATCCATAATATGGAGGAATAGAAGTGACTGGAGGATCAACTTGAAATTGGGTGGTCAGGAAAAGCCTCTTTGAGATGACGTTTGGGCCGAGAACTCACAGGCAAGAGCAGCTATGCGGGGAGCTGGAGACCGAGGTGTCCGGGTGGAGGGCAGAACTCAGCAAAGGCTCGAGGACAGGATCAAAGAGCACACAGCGTGGCAGCGGCTGTCGCTGCATGAGCAGGAGGAGCAGTCGACACGAGCTCAGCAGGAGTGAGCCAGGCCACCTCAGCCTGGTGCAAGTGTTCATTCAACAAACACTAAGCACCTACCACGTTCGGGCCATTGCTGAGGATACAAAAATTAGACTGAGAAACCCCCGGCTCAAGGATGTCGTCCTGAGAGGAACTTGAGCATTTCGTGGGGATGACAGAATGCCCGACCCAATTCTGCAGGCGGTCAGAAGCGACCCGCTCCAGGCAGCACCGCAGACCCGACACGGCGGGACAAACCATCCGAAGTCGCGGGGTCTGAGGTCGGAGGGCCTGCCGTCTACCCCCCGGGGCAGGAGGTCAGGCCTCCCGGGCAGTCAGTCACCAGGCCCACCTTCCCCCGCCGCCAGCCTTCTCGGTCTCGGCTGCCGGGGCAGGGCTGCAGGAATCCCCCGGCCTAAATCCGTTGCACCCAGAAAACCCGGGCAGGGGAGCCCCGAGACCGCGGCTCTGATTAGCACCTGATTCACCCAGGCGGTCGCGGCAGGGCAGCGACTGCTGGTAACAGGCGCCCCGGCCGCCCGGGGGAAAAGGCCGGCGGGGACGCGGCCACGCGGGGCCCGCCCCTCCCCCACCGCCACGCCGGCTCCGAGGCCCGCGCGGCTGCGGGGTCTCGCGGCGCCTGCGCGTCCCGCCCGCCCCGCTCCACCCCGGCGCCGGGCTCGGGCCGCGGGAGCCCGACTGCGGGTCCCGGCGCCGGGGGTGGGGGGTGGGGCAGGGACGCCGGGCCTGCCCGGCGCGCTCGGGGGCGGGGGCCGGCCGAGCGAGACCATTTCCCGGCAGCGGCGCGGGCGCCTGGGCCCTGCCCCGCGGGAAGTTCCGGGGCGGCCGAGCGGAAAGCCCGGCTTCCCGGAGCGCTCGGCGGGCGGCTCCCGCACCGCCCGATGACGACGGCGACGGCGGCGCTTGTTGACGCCGGGAGCTCGCGCGCCCTCCCGAGCGCCGCCGCCCAGCCGGCCCCGTCGTGACGCGCCGCCAGCGAGCGGGAGCGCCCTGCCCGGCGTCGGCCGCCATGGGGAACGGGATGAACAAGGTAACGCGCCCCGCGCCCGCACGGCCCCGCGGGAGCCGGCCCCAGCCCGCCGGCTTCCGGCTGCAGCGCCCGCCCCTGCCCCGACTCGGGCCGAGCGAGCCGCGCCCGTCAGGAGCGTCGACGCTGGGCTCTGCCGAGGTCTCAGCTGAGCGCGGAGCGTCTGCGGTTTCTTTTCCCCTCCCCTCCGCTCCCAGGCTGGGCCCCGGCGGCGTCACCGCCCACGTCGCCAGTAAGCGGGCGCGCACGGGGCTCCCCGTAATTCCTCTTTCCGCCCAGCTCGGGCGCGCCCCACGGCGCCGGGCTCTCCCGTGGGCCGCGAGGTCGAAGCAGGCCTCGGTGCCGAGCCGTTTTTCGGTGACTGGGGGGGAGAGAGCAGGTTGGAAGCCGAGTTATCCCGGGTTACGTGGCTCCTGCTGCAGGGACACCCTGTGGGCCGGCGGCTCCTGCTGCGCGACGCTCGGTCCCTGCTCTCCGCTTCGCGGCTGCGGGGCGGCCCGCGTCCTTCCTGGCGAGGGGGGCGCCAGACTCCGGCCCCCGCCCTTGAGAGGGGCCGGGGATTCGTGTCGACCGCGAGGTTGAGGGTTTGTGGTTTGGTAGTCGCAGGTTTACAGGAAAGACTTGGGAGACTTTGAAAAGCGCTCAAGGAGGACAAGTGCCTTTTTAAGCGCCTTTTAAATGGTCGGGGATCAGATTTGTTCCTGGCTTTCTGCTTCTCTCCCCATCGCGTCCCCCCCACGCACACCTGCACGTAAATTGGGCTGCCAGGGCGGTGGGTGTAGGGTGCGGCGCTCCCTCCTGCATCTGCCCCGGCGTCGGGTCAGAGCCTTGGAAGGGGACTCGAGGCAGGCGGGGAAGAGCAGTCAGGGTCCTGGTACCTGTGCGACTCTTGCCCCTGCCCGTGTCTCGCTGTTGTGTCCTGGAGACGCAGGTTGTGAAAGCGCTGCTGTGCTTTGGGGCCTGCGTCTCTCTCACCGAGGTATTTGGTGACCAGAATTTCATTGCTTTTTTTCTTTTTTTTGGCCAGTGGTTAAGTTTGAAAACAGACTCCCTCTCTCGGATAAATACTTGCATGATGTTCCCGTTAGCATGCGAATCCATCAGCGCCGCGAGCCTTCTGCTTTTTAAATTAAAACAGAGCAATAAAGATGCTCATCACCAGTCGGTGGGCTCCCTTTGCCTTTCCCCTGATCGGGGCCACGCCTTAGCTTTCCATTGGTTTCTACAGTTTTTCCCCCTTGAGTTGTTCACTCTGCACCTCTTTCAGCATTTAATTTGCAGTATTCGTATATTATAATTTAAAAAGTATATTCAGGAATGCAAATGATTGCCTAAGGGGTCAAAATTAATTTCATGTTTTCCAGTAAAAGTAATATTCGTATCATGCTTTTTACCTTTCAGAGTACTAAATTTCTTGACTATTTTAGTATCATAATTATCTTGTATTATAAACAGACACACTGTCTCGAGAGTAGGAACGGAGACACATATGTACGGAGAGACTTAGAGACGTCATTAATTTTTAATAACACATTTATCGTGTACGGCCGTGTGCCAGGTTGTGCTGGTTGGGAGCCACGTGTGGGGAGGGAGTACAGCGGTGGATGACACAGACAAAGATCTTCAAAGAACCCTTTGAGTAGACCAGTGCTTATCCAATACTAACAGAACATGAGCCAAATGTGTAATTTAAAATTTTTTAGTAACCACATTGAAAAAAGGTGAAATTAATTTTAATAATACATTTTATTTAACTAAATATTCAGAATACTATCATTTCAACATGTAACCATAAAATTATTCATGGAATATTTTACATTTTTTTATTATGCCTTCAAAGCCTTGTGTATATTTCATACTTAAATCACATCTCGTTTGGAACTAGCCACATTTTAAGTGCTCAGTAGCCACTGTGTTGCACAACACAGATCACGCGTGTGTTTGTGTGTGTGTGTGTGTGTGTGTGTGTGTGTGTGTGTGTGAGAGACAGAGAGAGAGAGAGAGAATGCAAACACAGAGCAGGGAGGGGCAGAGGCTCCAGAGGATAAGATACAGGCAGTTTCAGCAGTGACGAAAGTATTAATAAAAGACATGATGAAAGCAATCTAGAAGGAGCATTCAGTCCAGGCAGCAGATCCTACTGGAGTGAACATGTTTAGTCTGAGACCAGGAGGAATTACCCCAAATTATAATACAGGTTAGTAAGTGGCAAAGTAGATTGCTGAGAGCCAGTAGCTAAGAGCCTTAACTAGAACTTTTTTCCATGTGTAACTAGTTGTTACTTGGAACAAGGCTTCGTACTTTCGCCATCTATAAAAAAAGAAAAGCATTGTTGATTTGCAGAATCAGTGGAAGGTGCTAACCATAGAAATGCTTTTCTAAGGATATTTATAAATAAAAACATTCAATGCCTTTGGAACTAAAAACATAACTTGGAAAATGTGTGCCCTGAGGTTACAGGGACAAGATTTCTCTCTAATCTCGTACAAATTGGTCATCCCTGACAAAAGAAAACTTATGAACTAAACAATGCAGACTCCATTCTGACTGCTTTGAGGATAGCAGCTTTTATTTATATTTTATGTCCTCACGGTAGATCTTCTTCTCAACATGTCCCAGTCTCCTGTTTGGCAGAGTGGTAAGCCCATCTCAGGCGTACACACAGTTTGTTATACAAAGGATGCAGCGGAAAGAGGCGTCTATATTCTGGACGAATAAAGATGATGAGGAAATAGAGAATGCAGCAACAGAAGTTGGGAGCTGTTATTTTTTGAGCCTCATATCATGTGCCCGCTCCTTATAAAATCTAAGCCTCATGAGGTCAGGCTGTCTTCTTTTCGTACAGACTGGGAAACAGAGACTCAGAGAGGTTAGGCAGCATGACGAAGGTCCTGATACTGGGAATGGCAGAACTGGGTTTGGACTCCAGTTCCCACTGATTTTGAAGATAGTAGAACTCTTTCCTTTGATCTAGGATGTTAATTCATGCCAAGTAAATTCTCAAGTCCCTAAAAGATAACCTGCAAAGCTCCCCATAGTTTCAGATTAATTGTAAAATAGGCAACGTCACCTTCCCTATTCCTTCATGTTCGACATTGATAAAGAAGGGGTCAAGGCAGGCAGCTAAACTATCTTTTCATTGATTTTGTGCAATTCCCCAATAGCTGAGATGGCCAAAAGTGTAAGGACCAAAGAGCTTATGGTGCGCCAGCCCTGCCTCGAGGGCTTCCCCACGTAGAGTAACTCATGGGCTCCTCGCCATGACCTGTGAAGTAAGTGCTGTTGTTTTCATGCCTGTTTTACAGGTGATGTGCACAGAGGTTAAGGGACCTGCGCAAGGTCACCCACCTGGTCTGGCTCAGAGGCACCATGCTGAGTGCCTCACTGTGCTGCTAAGAGATAAGGTTAGCTAAAGTCTCTGGTAAGACTAGGTTAAACTAAACAGGCTGTTGTATGCAGATGTCATGCTTCTGTGGAGCCTTTGAAAACTCCTCATTGACTCAAAGTTCTCTCAAGAGTCTAAACTCCCACGTTTTTAGGGAGAGGGCCTATAAACAAAACTCCTGTCCTCACGGTCATCTTATTAGTCTTAAGTACTACAATACCCCCAGTAAAAACAAAACACAAAACTAGTCACTCTAGTCAAGCATCACGTCAGAGCAAGTGACCCCAAATGCTTCTTATGTGCAAACCTATCTTGATAACCTAAAAGTGGGCCAAAGCCTTGCCATCCTAGAGCAGGATGTGAGGGCCCTCTGGCCCTGACGTCTCGCCATTCACTGACTGCCAGGGTTGGTTGAGCTCATCCAGCATCTAGCTGCCTGGTCTCGTGGCTTCCTCCTTCCTCCCTGCTCTGTGTCCTCTGAAAGCATCCTGCCAGATGGGAACAGCCGCTGTCCCGGTGTTTCATGGGAGGCTTGCTCATGGTGCTGGAAGGCAAACACTTCTCCCTGAGAAGCCCGCTGTTGCTAAGGGGGGAGGCTATCAGGAAGCCTGATGTGGGGCGTCTCTGCCACCCTGCCCCTTCATGGGTGTGATGTTGAACAGGTCACTTAATGCTGCTGAGCTTCAGTTTCTCTCTCTCTCCCTGGATTCAGAAACGTTCAGAAATAAAAGGCCTTTGGTGATTAGCTAATCCAGTCTCCTTTTTGGCTCTAAAATTAGTATAATGATACCTTCCCCAGTTACTACTCAGGTTCTTGGGAGAAGAAAATGAGACTTTATTAGAAGAAATTTTGCTAAATTGTACAGTGTGAATATACTCTGTTACTAGTGTTCTTGGATTTGTCCCAGCAGTTGTGGCAGTGTTGACATCTGCCTTGGATTTGGCTGGCACCTATTTTAGGATGGTTCTTTCTTCCTTAGGAAGATAAGGAAGTGCGGTTGAGAAACGATTACAGTTCAGGGGGAATGAATAAGTCCCTGCTAGGCATAGACCAGGATTCCTCAGCTTGCGCACTGTTGGCGTTTTGGGCTGTATAATCATTTGTTGTGGCAACTTCCCTGTGCATTATGGGTTTAGCAACATCCCAGACTTTTACGCAATACATGTCCGTAGCATCTCCTCCCCACAGTGCGACAACCAAAAATGTCCCTGGACTTTGACAGGTAACAACCCCTTGGGGAAAAGTCGTCCCCAGCTGAGAACCACTGGTCTTAGGTTCTTCATCTCAGAATCTCCCAAGGCCTGTGTGATCTGGACGTGAACAGTTATCAGAAGGTGGAACAGAGCTTAAAAAGTTGAGAAGCACTGTTTCAGTGTAGGAAGGTCAGGCAGCTTTGCGCTGTTAAATGCTGCAGTTTCTACCCGGCAGCAGGTGACTTAGCTGCCCTCATAATTCATTCCTCTGTCCATTTACCCGATCATCCAGTTACGGTATTGAACACCTGCTATTGTCAAAGCACTGTGTTAGATCCTGTAGTGGGTCTTAAATTTGAAAGACGTAATTAGGCCCAGCCAGAAAAGCCCCTGCAGGAGGTAAACACACAGCCGCAGCTGCAGGACTGACGGACGGTGGCTGCACGCTGGTGATCTCTGTCTTCCCTCCTCCACACCACTCCCTCAATGCTTTCTCTTTTCTCCTTTTAGTGATACATGTTTATTTCACAATGGAAGAACACATGTTCATGGCGTCATTCTAAGGGCACACAAGAGTGTTCTCAGATTCTTACCTTTTTAAATGCAAACTGGTTAAATAGCATTAAGAAAGTGTCTGTGACCTTCGACCCTTCCGGGAATCCACCAGAGTTTCCTTCATCCCTGGCTTTGAAACCCAGAAAGTCCTTTCTGATCTAGAAAGAGTTACGATTCCACCCCTTCTGCGCCCCGCACACAGGCCTTACAGCGCTGCTGGACGAGGGATTTGTCTCTTAGTCTGTTTGGGTGGGGTTCTTAGAGTCACAGCATCCTGAAGTACTAAGAGGAATGTTTAAAAAATAAACTATTTCCTCCCTTAGAAGCAGTATTCTTTTGTGCTTAAGTGCATTTTTGTGGCTAAGGGTTTGGTTTTTTGCATTTCTGTGCAGCCAGAGTTAGCACAGTGTAACTTGTGAGTGGGGAGGACAGTGACCAAGAGGCGCCGTGGACCACAGAGCATCTTTAGTGTGATCTCGAAGGATTTCCACCGAAGAGTTCTGCCTTCATTTCTGTGCTCAGTCTTGTTACCAGAAATCTGACCGGCAGAGTGCCAGGGTCATCTTCCTCCGTGGTGGGTGCTGTTTCGTCGCCGCGGTAACTGATTCCCTCCCCCTGCTTCACGGTCACTCAGAAAGCGAATAAAACCATTTTCGGTACTGATAAATGAAGAAAATAAAACAAGGCGATATGAGGGTGCCTGGGAGTTTGGTGGTCAGGAGAGACCTCCCTAGAAACGCCACCTGTGGGAGACCTGAGGACAAGGAGCCCCCAGGTGAACGACGGGGAAGAGCATCCCCAGCAGCAGGAAAGAACGGCAGGTTCAGAGGCCCGCAGATGATTAGTAGCGATTCTGTGCCGCTGCTTTTAGAGTAATAGAGTATTCCCAAGTTGCATTTACAGACTTTTGTTCCTGACCTGTCCTCGCTTCCTGCCAGAGCAGATTTCACTCCTGCTTTATTCTTCTCTGAGAACAGACTGGTCAGCCGGGTCCCGGATGAGCACTGTTCTTCCCCATCTCCTTTGAAAACCATCTCTCTGCCAGCAAATTATCCTATTTTATTTTCTCTTTTCCTGTACTCAGGGATTACCAGTAGCAGTAACATCACCAAAGTAGAGGTGTCAGAATTTTTAAGTGTCAAGTTTGAATTAGGAAGCTGGCTAGTGTGGAAGTTTAAATATTCATGGGTTTTTTATTTGTTCTCCATGAAACCAGCCCTCCTTAATCTTGTTTTGTGGGAGAGAATCACACTCTGACACAGAGGCGGAGTTGAGCAGTCTGCTTTCTGGTTCCAGCCCTGAAAGTTGACTGACGACTCTGCCCTTTTTCTACATCACTTAAAGGTATTTAAAATGCACGTAAAATACACATCGTACTTTCCTTTCAGTAAGTGGCCTCCGTAGGTCTGCTGTCTTTGGCGCGGGTGCCAGCTCTGACCCAACGCCAGCCCCTGCCTTGGTGTTGCCTGGCACCGTTTCCCACGTGGAAACCCACCCGGGGCAGGGAGGGCCAGTGCTCGATCCCTCTGCAAAGGCTGCGTCAGGCTTTCGTCACCACTGATTTTTGTGTCTCTCCTTTCCTCTCACCCTGTTCACATTGTCTGTTTGTTCCTTCATTCGTTGAAGAAGGATTTGAGTACCTGCCCAAGGGAGAACCAATCACCTTTAGAAAAAATATATTTACAAATAGGAAGCAGGCAGCAGAGAGGTCACACAGGTGCATGGGCCACAGCCCACAGATGTGTTCTATTGTCCATCACAGTATTTAAGTTATTTTTAAAAATTTGGTTGGCAGTATTTGAAAATTGCAGCTTCCTGTAAAACCTGGATGCTAGAATTTGGGGGCCCCGGCCTGCATCTCTGCATGGCCACATAGGCCGGCCGTACTGTGGCAACCTCCTCAGACCTGGGTGAGGTTGGAGAAGTCACCCAGGGTGGGGCTGAGGCAGGCATGAGCTGGCTGGCTCACTTCTGGAAGGCCTCACCTGCCCAGGCATAGGAAGTGGGTCTGGTGCTGAGAGCTTGGTGGAGCCCTTCGAGGAGTTAAGATGAGTCACGTGATCAGCTTGTACCTTGAGGCGGTTCCAGGAATCCCTGGGAGGGAGGCGTCTGGAGGCAGCAGCTCAGGCTGTGGCAGTGATTCCGAGGGGGGTGCTAAGAAGTTGAGCAAAGGTGCTGCACTAAAGTCGGAGGAGGGCACATAAGTTGGGGAGCTATCGAGGAGCAGAAGCAAATGCCAAATGAGGCACCATGGAGCCCAGAGGCGGGCGGGGGCTGGGGGTCTCCTGTCAGCACGCCCTCCAGGTGGCTCCTGGTTGGGCTTTCCCGGCAGGACAGGTGAGTCTTGTTGGCAGAGGCAGGGCAGGAACAGGCAAGCTGTGCCTGGGACTCGCCTCAAGGGCTGTGCCACCTTCTGCACGTCTGCGTCTCTGCCCGCTGAAGCCCACATCGGGTCCTTGGTTGTGGGCAACAGAATCCAAACGCGGCTGCGTTAGCTAGCACAGGACAGATAGCCAGGAAGGCTGGGGAGCCAGACTCAGGGGTTACCCTGCCAGGAAGAAAGCCCATAACTGGTCAGGTGAGAGCATTTCTGGGGCTGCCCCGGGAAGCCAAGGCTGCAGCCAGTGGGTGCTGACTATGCTCCCAGCCCCAGTGCCTCTGCTGCCAAAGAGGACACTCCGGCTGTCCCTGGGCCTAGCGCTGCTGCCCTGACAGGCCACAGCAGAGCCCCTGCGGCGACGACACAGCCGTCAGTCTTTAGCAGGGCAGCCGTGGTCAGGGAGAGGCCTGAAAATGTCAGTCCTGTGGGGGACGTCACTACGGGCTTCTTTCCACTCAGTGACATGGACAAGAATAGGGGAGCTGAGAGGGCGGGGGTGGCACTGAAAGAAGGACATGGCCAGGACATCGGCTGTCTGCTGTGAAGTGTCACCAGAACCCACCTGCTGTATGCGCTTGGAAAACGCTGCGGGTGAACACGGCGGCTGTGTTTCCTGAGCAGCGCGGTGCCGCGTCTGAATTTCAGGGCGTCCATGCAGGCGCGGGCAGGACAAGGCTGGGCTTCGCAGTCCGCGGATCCTGGTGTGCGCGTAACAGCACTGTGCCCAGTTCTTAGATCTGCTGAGTCGTTCCGTAGGGGGTGCGGGGAACTCGCCAGAAATCTGTATTTCTAATGGATTCTGGAGTTCTGGTGGGTAGTCTGATTTTGATAGCCACTGCTTTAGAAGCAGACGTTTTGATACAAATGTGTTCTCAATGATTTGCGTGTGTTTAGATGGCCGATTCATTCATGTGGCAGCTCTTTACTCCGTGTCATCGTGGTCCCGGGGCTGGGCCGCCGTGCCAGTCACAGGATGTGTTTGTGCCCAAGGAGGTTTCCAGTCCAGCAGAGGGACCGGCCTTGCCTAGTCATGACCCCGTGACAGTGTCGCTGCACAGGGGACAGGAGGGCTGTGGGTGCTGAGCCCGGGCTGACCCCAAACTCAGGGCCCAGGTCAGGCCTCCCCAGGGCGTGAGTCAGAACCAGACCAAGGGTAGGGGCTGAGAGCACAGCCGCTGGGCAGTGGGCACAGCGTGTTCAGAGCACGGCTGCTGGGCCACGGCGGGGGGAGGCTGGAGGGTGGTGGACTGGACTCCAAGGCACCCTTGAGCACCAAAGGGCCTGAAGCCAGGGAGAGCACGGTGGGATCAGGCCCTGAATTCCATGAGCTGGTGGGCACCCACTTGCCGCATCCACAGGCCGTGCGGGTGGGCTTCCTAGTGGATGTGGGCAGCGTGAGCCTGGACAGGGATGCCAAGCTCCCCTGCCCTCCGTCTGGGACGTGCCAGGAAGTGGGTGTGGCTGGTTCGCGCTGTGGGGTACAGACCGCAGGTGGGAGGCCCCCATGCCCGCCCCTGTGCCAGATGCTGTCCTCCGGTCAGTGATGCTTTGTGTCTCTCCCCTAGATCCTGCCCGGCCTGTATATCGGCAACTTTAAAGGTGAGTTCTCTCTTTTTCATTATTGTGGTAAAATGCACATAACGTAAAATGTAACATCTTAACCATTTTTCAGTGTAGGAGTCAGTGGCATTAGGTAATCAGCATTGTTGTGCAGCTGTCACTACCATCCGTCTCCAGAACTTTCTCATCTTGCCAAACTGAGACTCTGTCCCCATTGGACGCTGACTCCCCATCCCCCTCCCCCAGCCCCTGGCAGCCACTTGCCTGTGCGTCTCTGTGAACCCACCTGCTCTAGGAGCCTCGCGTGAGTGGGATCCTACGGTAATTGTCCTTTGCGATTGGCTCATTTCTCGGAACACAGCGTCCTTGAGGTCATACGTGTAGCACGGGTCAGAACTCTCTTCCTTTGCGAGGCCAAATAATATTCCACTGGGTGGATTTACTGTATTTTTTTTCCATTCATCTGTCCGTGGACATTGGGCTTGTTTCCACCCAAGGTGCCTTCACTTTTTAAAAGATAAGCTTTAGACTTCTCAGGCGCTATTGGCAGGCAAGCTGTAGACTCAGTCTGCACATAGTCTGTTCTGGAAGTAGCCACCACTGTGCCCAGGCCCCTTGCTGGGCCCTCATTCTGGCGCCCGACCCTTCGACCAGGGGCTGACCCCGCAGTGTGAGGCCGTGCAGACACCAGCTTGGCCGTGGGTCCTCCTGTGAACTCCCCAGGGGACGTTATGATCAAAAGACGGTGGACAACAGGCACATTTAGCAGCCCTGTATTAATAACTTACGTATAATCTTTTGCCCCTTTCATTTTGTAGTTTTTGTTAATAAATTTCAGAAGACTCTTTTTTTCTAAATCACCTGGGAAACATGAGTGACAGTTTCATCTCTGGCAGATTATTCTCATCTTGTGTTGTCTTCTCCTCTCACGTATTTCCCTGATGCTTACTCAGAATGTATTGATTTGCTGTCAGTTGTTATCCCTTCATTTTAGCAAAGCACAAGGTGGTTACCAGCCTTGTCAGTTTCTGGGGGGTCGGGGGGGCCTAGGCCCTCTGCCCTGTGAGGTTCTGAGTTTGTGTAAGTGAAGACCCCGGCTCCTTCGCGTGGAGACGAGGTGCACTTAATAGGATGGAAACGTCCCAGGAAACTTGCCCCAAGTGCTCACCGTGTCGGGTAGGACAGACTAAGCTGTGTCGTAGGCATCGGTGCTCCTCCCTGCCCCAGCAAGCCAGAGCGCGGGCAGCCTCGGAAAACACTCCTGTTGGTTTTTTGGACGTTGCTTAAATTGATTGTGCAAATAATCTTTATTACTTCTCTTCGTAAGTGTATTTTCCTTTCTTCCCCGCTGTAGGCTCCTAGTGCCTCTAATTGGCCTCAAAGAGAATTGAGTGCAGGGAGCTGACGGCTGCTGGGTGCCAGCAGAACATGTTAAAAATAATACCGGAGTTCCTAAATTAGTAAGCTTTGTGTTCTGAAAAAGTGGTGAGCCTTTTCTGATGGTAGGCTGGGTACGTTAACCGAGCAAGTATTTTCGTAGAGTTACTCAGTAAGTTATTGTTAACTGCTTTTTTGGGGAGGATAAGTTCTTAGAAGTAGAATTGCTAGGTGAAAGCTTTGCAAACTAAAAATTTTAATAAATATCAACCATATTCAATACTTCTGCCAGCACTATATGAGAGTTTTAGCCTTAGTCATGAAATGTTACCTTTTTTTAGAAGGACGAGTACGCACAGTTTTAAGGAAATACTTAAAACACTTTTTATACTAAAATCTCTACGTCTTCTAACTATTCAGTGAGGTAGGAACCCCTCCCAGTTGCTTTGATTCTTGCGTTGTGTTCCACCTGTCCGAGTGTTCTAAGCAGCCCACCCCCTCTCCCTGTTCAGACAATTGATGTTTTGTTGTGGCCTACAGTTGTTCTCATATTAGTGTGTGGTATGTTCTGTTCACTCATTAATTCACCAAACATTTATTAAACACTCCCTAGGTTCAAGGCGTATCTGAAACAGAGGAGGGAGAGTGCAGTGCGTTGGCAGGAAGTTGGAAGGAGAGGCAGTGTTGCTTCTCTGTAGCGCCGTGAATTAACTCGTTCATTCCTCAGGCTTTTCAACGGTACATGTGCTCGGAGTTGGATGTGGACAAGGGTCCTTGTCTTTAGGTGTTCAGAGTCTGGGGACAGGTACAGAACAGGAAGGGCCTGCAGAGAGCCAAGAAGCTGTCAGCTGGCCTGCCTTGCAATCCCAGATGCCCCCCTGGCCATGGCCGGTGTGTGTTCTCAGAGGAGTAACACACCTGGACGTGCAGAGAGAGGGTGGTGATGTCAGTCTCAGGGGCTGTGGTGACGCAGTCAGTTAGCTCAGGGCCCGTGCCTGGTGCCCTCCCCGTCTGTGACCTGGGACCCACCCAGTTACTGTGGGCTGTTGGTGGGCACCAGACGGACGCTCTGAAACACCGACACCTTGCCAGGTGTGCAGCGGGCAGCCAGGCGGAGTTAGCTGGCCAGGGCGGACGCCTAACGGATGGCCCTTTCTTTCTCCTGGAGGGTGAATCTAGCTGTCCCCTGTGCTTTAGCCTTTACTCATTTAGCCTCCTCTTTTCAAATTGGAAATAACACATGCCCTTTGTAACACAGCAACCAGTGTGGAACCTTATAAGGAAACGTTAACAGTCCCTCCCTTCTCCTGTCCCACCTCCTTCTTCCCCTCCCTCATCATCCCTCCCTTCCTTTGCCTTTCTCCCCTCCTTCCTTCCTCTCGCCCTCCCTCCCGCCCTTCCTTCCTGCTTCTTTGCCTCCTCCTTGCCACTGGGATTCCTCACATGTCACTCTGAAACTTCGTTTTTTTCCTTTAACTTTGCAGTGAGTCACAGTTTTCCAACACCTGGTGATTTTTCCACCTAGAAAAAAACCACAAACAAACCCATCTCTGGAGCCTGTCTTTGATGCTCTGAGAGCCTCTTGGGTGAGGTACCAGCAATCCAGCAGCTCGCTCTGCCCAAATGCTGGGAGGGAAGGCAGGAGTGGACGGATGCCCGAAAGAGCAGCCCCTCTAGGCCAGAGGGTGGGGTTCGTGGCTTCCTCACAACGTGGCACAGGCAAAAGTGGATGTCAGCTGACAGAGAAAGCCCTCATTGTTTGAAGACGTCCACAAAAATCTACAAGAGTGGGAGGGAACAAGCTCAGGCACTGTGCGTGTGGGGGTGATGTGCAGTCAGAGAGGCTGTTCGAGGCCTCAGAGCTTCTGCTCTGCATTTGGCAGTGAGACACATGTTCCTGGTGGGGTCCCCCGCTGTTCACGTGAGGCGCAGCTGGCAAGCACACACCTGGGGTGGTCTGCTGTCCGCCGGGCCTGGGGGAGCTGGGCGGGTACCCAGAGCAGGAGAGCTGGGCTCCAGTGTCTTCGGCACAAGTGTGGATTTGGAGACATTCAGAGGTGACGCACTGAGGCCCATACCCCAGCCTTGGGACTTAATCTGGTTGTGACAATATCAGCAGTAACAATGGCGAAGACCACACATCTGCCACACGCCCGGCTCTGCTCTGCACCACTCAGTCCCCACAGCAGCCCGCGGAGGTTGCGCCTCTGAACGTCATTCCCAGTTCACAGGTGGGAAAAGTGAGGCGCAGGAAACCTGGCCCGAGGTCAGCAGGGTAAGCGTCAGAGCCAGGGCGTGGTCAAGGCAGGCCCTGTCCCACTTGGGTCCCCAGCCCAGGTTGGAGATGGATCATTAGAGCTCGAACCCACCATCACCTAACGTTTGCTAGTTCGTAACTCCGGATGCCACGGATGTGTTCCTACGTGGGAAGCAGAGCCGCAAAGCAGATGGGAGTCCCTCACTGGCTGGTCAGCACACGCTCACTTTGGGAGGCAGAAGGTTTTTGGGAAATGACTCAGACGTGGTGTGGGGTTCAGAGCAGAGCAGGGGTCCTTTAAGACAGAGGCCTTTCTCCACCCTGCCTCCCCACGCGGCACCGTCCGCAGGCCCGCGAGCTGCTCTGCGGGCAGTGCCTTCTTGCCTGCCAAGCATCCGCTCTTACGCTCTTACGGAGAGCCTGTGCTGATGTGTCAGGTTCTAACGCTTACTCCAAGATGCTTTTGTTAATTTTATTCAAGGGCAGTTCTGCTTGACTTTCACCAGACCGGCTTATTTCCCATGGGTGCTCTGGCATGTCCCATGCCTTAGGACTGGCCACCCCGTTCATCTCTCATCCATATAAGACCTCATCTCTCATCCATGTAAGACCTAGAGCACTAATTCGCCTTCTTAAGGAAGCATGTGGCTGCCACTTTGCCCTCTGAGGACAGCATCTTCCAGCAAAGCCACCTGTTGCCCCAGCGAGGGCTTCCCTGGGCCACGGGGGGCCTTCCCAGAGCCAGGGACAGAATGTCCAACCTGAAGGGGAGGACCGGGGCGTCGCTATGTCAGGGTTCACCCTGTGTGCAGGAGGCTTCTGCTTCTTGAGAAGGCACATGAGGCCTCGGGGGTAAACAGAAGCAGGCAGCTGGAGTGGGGAAGAGCCCAGAGGCCGGGGAAATGCTGACAGAGAGAGGAAGAGAACGTAGTTAGCTGCGTTTACCAATGGGGGATTGACTCTTCATTTTCCTCTTTATCGCTTTTACATTGGATTTTGTGAACAGTAAATTTTTGTTTTGTTTTTCCAAGTTATAAAAGTAATATGGGCTTATCAGTAAAAAAAGAAAAAATTCAAACCTGATAGAAACACGTTAAAGAGAGCGAGCCTTCCCATAACCTCACATCCCGAGATAGCCGTGCTTATTAGGTCAGCGTGTGTCCCTCTGGATGTTTTCTCCGTGTGAATTCTAACCTGTGGCCTTCCCGTTGGTTTCTATACTGACTTGTTGCATTTGTGATCGCAGGTGGCTACGAGGGGTGTTTTGGTTTAGGAATAGCGTCGCCACGCCACAGCAGTGGAGAGGCCCATTGGCACCGGGGCAGATGCCATTCCCTGCAGGGCTGGGCGTGTAGGGAGTACACCAGCTTCTGGGGTTTATAAAAAAGCACACGCTCAGAAAAAAGAGAACCGGCGGGCCTGGGAGTCTGCATTCCTCACGCGCTCCAGGTGATGCATGTGGTTGGGTACTCGGCTTGTTTGAAGCATACAGGCGTGTGTACGTGCACGTTAGCAAGCCGTTGTCTCCACAGCCGGTCTCATGGATGTGTGCACAGCCCATTGTGCCAGTCCCCGTGGTTGCAGGTTGCCACCCAGAACAATTGAGAGTATGAAGTCAGTAAGAATAAAAGGCCCTGAATCCTCACTCTGCGGCGTGGATTAGGCATTTCTTGCACTCTCAAGTCTGCAGACGGAGCCTGGGCCTGGCGGGAAAGGGCGATCCCACAGCAGCGCAGCAGCGCGGACGGCTCCCACGTAGCAGAAAGCGGCGGGAGGTGCGGCAGCATCAGGCAGGGGTGGCTTCCCTTGTCGTTGGAGTCCAAGAGTGAGTTAGCTCTTCTGTGGTACTGAGCGATCTTCTGTATCCATAAATGTATGCTTTTGTTCCCAAACTGTTTAAAAAAATCTTAACCTGTGTTACAACAGTATAGATATGGGCTGATAAAAATGTTCTGAAGTTAGATTATGGTGACGTTTGCACAACTCTGTGAATGCACTAAAAACCATCCAATTATATAATTTAAAAGGGTGGCAATTATGATACGTGAATTATATCTCAATACCGCTGTTGTAAATTTTAAAAAGTATGTCTAAACAAATACTAATTGTCAGAATTCAGATGCTGGGCAGGATTGGAATCCCGAAGAACCCTGGGGGAGAGCGTCTCCCTCCTGCTCCCCTGGGCCGCCCCACCTCTCCGGGTTGCTCACCTGCCGCCTCTAGTTGTCTGTGAGCTTCAAAAGCTCCGGCTTTTAGCTTGTTTCACTATTGTCTAAAACATGCACACTGGTAGCCACTGGAAAATCACATTTTGGTGTGAGTGTGGCAGCTGCCTGCCTGTAGGTTCCCAAACCATTCTAAAACCATTCTGAATCCTGCCTGATTGCAGGCCAGCCTTGCCCATCCCCGGCTGGTGGGAGTGGGTGGGGGCTGGCGTCGAGCCCGGTGCCTGGGGGAGACAGCTGCCAGCACGCTGGGACCTAAAGCTCGAGACGGTCAGAGCAATGAAGAGAGTCTTAAAATAAAACCAGTATTTTAATACTACTTTTAAGGATTTTTTTCTTGACATTGCTGAATATTTAGAAGGATGTTTCTTGATTTCTGCTCCATCATCAAGACTTGTTAGAAAGGCAGATTCCTCATCCCCACGGTAGAGCTGGAACTAAGTTGTGGCTCAGGAATCTGCCTTTCTAACAAGCCTCCCAGATAGTTTACGGACTTGTCAGACTTTTAGAACCACTCACGTAGAATGTGTGCACACACACAAACTATAAAGGAAAAAGACCCTTGTGATCCCATCTCTTACTTGGCGCTGTCTTTATGCCAGTTCTTCCCCACCCCCAGCCCCTGTGTGTTTGTCTCTATGTGTTTTTACATACTGAGTTCATATTGTATGTATACTTTGGTACCTACTTTTTCCTTCTGCTTAACATTATATCCCAAGCATTTTCCCGTGTCGTTAAATATTCTCTAGAAACATGATAATTAAACATTTCATTTGCCTTTCAAGCCATCTGACCCCGTATCATTTTAAAAAGCCTGGCCAAGGGCGGCTGACCTCCTCATTTCTTGGCGGACCCTGTCTTGTAGATTAGCCAGAGGGTTCCAGTTCAGGGCATTACCACATTCAGTCTTCTTTCTACAGCAGGAGCACTGGAAGGGAATATAATTTTGGTATCTCCTTAGTTTCATATGCAGATAATTTAATAGCCAACTGATAATTGATGGGCAATTCTGTTTGGAATTTCCAGAAACTGTTCTCTTTTTACTTTTGCTCCAAAATGAATATAGACGTTATAAAAGACAGTAAGACAGCCCTGTCTGAGTCCAGACCTGTCCCTGCTTTTGACATCAGGGTCAGGAAGTACCAGGTGGATTCCTCTGTCTTTAGTAGTAAGTGGGTCTGTCGTATTTAGTTTTTTAAGATTATGAGTCCTTAAAAAGTAACTGGGTTGCTAATATTTTAAACATCTGTGTTATTACGTGTTCCCTGCAAAAAACTGACCTAAGGGTGTACACTTACCAACTTTGCACTTCCACTGCAGCGCAACCTAAATTCACTTCCTTTGAACAGCAGCCATCGTGATCACAGTGTTTATTGATCTAAATACGTGTCAAATTTTAGATTAACATTTTAGATCAAAAGCGGTACCAATCAGAAATAAACTTAGGCAAAATACATAAAAGCAACAGCCCTAAAGTTCCCAGAGGTACAGTCAGTTACGAAGTTTTAAGAAAGAAATATGCAAGTCATTCTGTGTTTTTTCTTGGCTAGACTTTAGGAGTAATTAATTTGCAAATATTAAAGTGTCCATCCTCTTTCTTCTATGACAGATGCCAGAGATGCAGAGCAATTGAGCAAGAACAAAGTGACACATATTCTGTCTGTCCATGATAGTGCCAGGCCTATGTTGGAGGTAAGAGAGGTGTACGCGTGCACACACGTGTGTGTGTTTTCGTCCGTGCCCCGGGGGAGTACATTAATGAAGGCAGGCACGTCCCCTCTGATGCCAGCGTGCTCCGTGATCTCTCGGGGCACAAATTTGTGCTCGGGCCGTGTTCATGTTGCTGCCCTGCTGGTAGCGTGGCAGAAGCGTGTGTTCCAGCGCTAGCTTGGCTTCTTGGCTACATGCCAGGGAATAAGCTGATGCTGCATTTCCTCTGGATTTTAAGGACCTTTAAAACCCATTTTCATTCCCTCCAAAATGACCTCTGGTTTTAGAATCCAAAAGAAGTCAGTCAGGCCGCTCATTTCCTAATTTTTTCCGTTCAAGCTCAAATAGCTACTGTTTGGATTCAGGAGTGAAAGAAAACAGAAGGTCAGTTGTCCCTGGAGGTTTCCCAGGCTGCTGTGGTGCAGACTCCCGGTGTAGAAGCTGTTGTTGTGTTCTAGGCTTTCAGGGTAAACAGGGTGTGTCTGCTTATGTACTAATTCCAAAAACCTCTTCAATTTCACCCTGACGCACAGTTCGAGCTGTTGGCCGGGGGCGAAATCTATTTCTGTTTATTGGCCTTGACAGAGCCCAAGTTACCTCTTTTTAGAAAATAATGCATGTGTGGTTGTGATGTGCATGTGTTTTCTATTTTAGGGTGGGGTGTTGGAAAGGGAGGGGCGGCTTTTTCTGAAAGAAATAATCCTGATTCAGGCTGTTTTCATTTAAATTCATATTATGCAAAAGTAGGTAATATTTTTTGTTTTAAATTTATCCATTTTCTTTAGCCATCAGAGCTGCCAGATTTCGGTTTGTATAAAACAAGCTAAAAAAATGAGAATGCAGAATAATAAATGATTCTAGTGACTGTCATAGTATCAGAAAATCATAGGTGGTGAGCAAACCTCAGTTCGTTGCTCCAGATCTGTGAGCTCCTACTTCCTTCTGTTGTTGTAGCTCACAGTTCTTTTGCTAAGGTGCTGTAGTTTGTGTTGCAGCATGATTTTATTGGAAACAACAACAAAACATTTTTTAGGAGCCTAACAGTTCCTTTGAAAAGAGCAATTCCATTTTGTAAATCTGTCACCAACAGTTTGTATTTAAAGTATAGCTATGGCTAAGACAGTAAGTTAAACTGCACACTGGTCATGATTAACTTCCTCTTAAATCACAAGATGAGGCTTGAGGTTTCCTTTATTTTAATAAATTGCATAGATGCCCTTCCAACCCTCAGCCCCTGGGCTGGCCTTGCTACTTTATGCTGCATTTAATGAAACACATTGTCATGTGGCCCTTAAATCTGTTCACATTTTAACTTCTGTCTAGATACAAGATTTTCCAGTGTTAGAAGTGAAAGAGCTCTGGCCCTGTCACCTGGGAAACCCTGTAGAGTAAAGCAGGTGGGACTGAAGCCCAGGTATAAAGAGACCACCAGTTGCAGGCAAACTGTGTTCCCTCGTTGATGGTACTCTATGCTTGCTTTTTTATTTTCCGTATATCTCAGTCTAGAAGGACAAATTCTGCCATGAAGAAGAAAGAGAAAGAAAGAGAAGGAAGGAAAGAAAGAGAGAAAGAGGGAAGGGAAGGGAAGAGGGGAGGGAAGGGAAGAGGGGAGGGAATGGAAGAGGAGAGGGAAGGGAAGAGGGGAGGGGAGGGAGAAATTCTGCCCCTTTTCATCAAGGGATGGCTTTTATTTGGAGACATCCTGTCATAGTCTTTGGGTCCTATTAGTACCTTAGCTAGACAGTAAATACTTCCATGTGATTTTATATTAAGGGTTATACCACCATTGTATAGCATAATGTAGTTTAGCATTGCCCCGCTTATCAGTTTATTCATTTTTAACTTCACAGGTAGTTCACAAATACACCCATATTTGAAAAATTAAACAATAGCTTGTCTGATTGCACAGGTGGGGGAAACTGGAAACTGAGGCACCAGGCGCTGTCGGAACTACGGTGCCCACATTAAGTTACCGGAGGCCCAGAAGTTTCAGATGTTTGTCTAGCTGTCCGCCTGAGACACAAAGGCAGTCTTCTGTCTTGAACATCAAATTCAGTTCCAAAGGCCGTGACCTGACCCAGTCTGAGGATGAGTCAGGGAAGCCGTGTTTGGAGTCAGTAGGGAATAACACACGAGTTTGACTCCTTCGCAGCCCTTGCTATGCCAGACCGACCCTTGGAGGGACACAGGGCCGGGTGCAGGACAGAGGGGGACGGGGTGCAGGGTCAGGCAACACGCGAGCTGCTCCGCGCCTGGTGGTGAGCCCCAAGTGAAAGGGAAGGAACAAACATGGGAGGGGAGGGAGCTGCGCCCCTTTATTTTCTGAGATCTTCAAAATTTTATTTTATTTTGAATGCCCCCTAGCTTGCTCTGGGTGGTCCTAGGCCAGGGCGTAGGGAGGTGGTCACTGTGTGAAACAGAAGGGTTTTCGTCCTGCGTCAGCACGGGAGCTCTTGCTGCGAAGCCCAGTGTTGGGCACTACGCTGTAGATGCCGATTCAGGTCATTTCCAGCAAGCATCTCAGTGGGTTTGAAAGCTCTGGGGCACTTAGCATCAATGGTCAAAGGCGTTTAGAATCTCTAGGTCTGCTTCAGTTGCCATGGAGGCTAAGTGAGAGAAGCTTGTCACATTGTTGAATGTGGTTTCTAGAATAGAGGTCGTAGGTCAGGGGGTTTGTGGACTCCCAAAGGATGGACTATTGAACAATAGGCCTAGGGTGTGATACTTTAGGAAAAGAAGGAAGTTTAGAGAGTTTAGCACACTTTAGTTCCTGCTAGAAGTTTCACAGTTGTGTTGATGGAATAAAGGTTTGAAAGCTCTGCAGTGCAGACACATTTTGATCAGCCTTTCTGAGCAGGGATGTGCATGTGCGTGTGTGTGCGTGTGTGCGTGCGTGTGTGTGCGTGTGTGTGTGTGTGTGTGCGTGTGTGTGTGTGTGTGTGTGTGTGCGTGTGTGTGTGAGACGTGCTGCCTACTAAGATCCCCGGAACTGTGTTCTGTGGAATCCGTGGGATCCTGATAAGGAGGCGCCTGTGTGAGCCTCGGGGGTGGGCACTTGACCGGAGGCTGCTGGGACAGCTTCCGAGCTGAGGCCCCTGGGCGGGAGGAGCCAGCACCCACCCTGGACCTGCTGCCGCCGAAGCTGCCTTCCTGCAACTGTGAGAACCTGCCTTAGTCAGAACGGAAAGTCGCAGTTTTGTACCCATTTCACCTTCTGTGATGTAATAATCTGTAACCTGTCACAGCTCCTGACCAGTGACAATGCCATAAAGTGCACCCACCAGGAGAAGTCTGATGAAGACATTGTTAGTCATTATTCATTTATCGATTTTACTTAGGAAGGAATTAAGGAAGTTCTGCCTTGGCTGCTTTCAGGTAGGCTAGATCTGATTGTCCATTATTTGGGTAGTGTTTTTTAGATGGGGGAGGAGTTCCCAAAATATCACTTGCAGGGCCCCTAACCCTCCCGGCAACCCGCCCCGGAACAAAAAACCAAAGGGCCGGTCCCCGGCCCCCCAGGGGGCCGGGCCCTGCCTCCCAACGAACCGAACCGGCCAACCAAAAGCAACCCCGAACCCTCCTGGGGGAAGAAAAGAAAATTGGTTAACCCCTGGACGTGGGGTGAGGTGTTCAGCCACGGGAAAGAGTCCTGAGACTCCAGTGACTGTCTCTTCAGAAGAGTATTTAAGGGGTAGATCTTCCAGAGTGGAGACTCTCAGAAATGCTGTGCAAACCTGGGGCCCTTCAGACTCTGTAGAGTCGGCCCTCAACGCAGGTGAGATTCTGAGGAGCTGTGACTACATCTGTGCCTGCTGCTCTTTGTTGATGTAGAAATCCCAGCTACGTGGGGTCCAGCATCATATGGACCAACGCCTGGAAGTTGGAGACATGCAGGGACTTGCCCGGGACCCCACAGCTGGTCCGGGTGGCCCGATGGGCAGCCGGTCTTCCCTCCCAGGCCAGAGGTGCTTCCTGGCTTGCCTCAGTGCCTCAGTCTTGTCTGGCACGAGTGTTGCTTCTGATGTCCTCAGCGGTATTGCTGGATCTCGCCAGATCAGCCCTGGAAAGGGTGGTACCATCTGCGCTCTGACTAGCGGTGTGGGAAATACCTTTCCCCATACCAGCACCAGTTAGCAGGATTTTTGTTTTTGTTTGCCGCAAATGCCCTCTTCATGTGGCCTGTCCCCCTTCCAGATGGTTCTTCCCTTTGAAAGCTAGGGGCTACTCATTCCGTGAGCTCCTCCTTCGTGCCAGGCCTGGGGCAGGTACTGCAGATAACGGAAGAGCGTTCATCCTGGCAGAGCCCTTAGTGTGTAATCAGGACGTGCATCGTGGCTGCTTTGTACATGTTCACGACAGTGAGAGAACAGCTGTGGCTCCGGGCAGGCGACAAACCAAACAGGAACGGAGTCTGTGGAAGCCCAGGGAGCAAGACCCTTCTTTTGCCACAAGAATCTGGAGACATCTGCAGTGACAAGGCATTTGACTGGGCCTGGGGCGCTGGGGCGATGACTAGGAATTCACTGGTCTGTGACGTGCAGCTGGCAGAAAGCGGGCAGACAGCACTAGAACGTGGCTTCCTCTGGTGTAGCCTGGTCTCCACGCCATGATCTCCTTGATCCCCCAAGAGCTCTGAGTCCAGCAAGGCAGGTGGCATTATCCTGGCTCCTTCAGGGCATAACCCAGCCGGGCGACTTTCTCACATCACCTGCCAGCAAGTAGCAGAGCCAGAGCTGGAACTGAGGTCTCCTCACTGCAGAGGCACGGTCTTCCTGCCAGGCATAGCCCTTTGGGACTATACTTTGGTATCCAAACTTTGGAGCACAGGATACTAATGTATTAGGGGGAAAAAATCATGGTCACATATGTTACTTTCAAATAGAAAGTAAGCCCAGACCTCTGATTATAATGTGTAAGGGGGAAACAAAACCTCCTTTGCTTCCATGCTTAGAGCTTGGTTGAGGAGTCGCTTGCATTTCCTT